AACCTGTGAACAATCTCAATCTCTTCGCCATCCATCCTGATGCTTCCAATTGGTCCAGTGGTGAGAATCTTTGTCTCCTTGACATTGAGCCTCAGTCCATACTGAAGGCTGCAGTCCTTGACCCTCCGCAGCAAGTGCATGAGGTCCTCCTCAGTTTCAACAAGCAGGGTTGTGTCATCTGCATAACGCAGATAGTCTACATAGGAAAAATGTGAGACATTGCACAGCTTGCAAAATCACAGTATGTAACTGTAGTAATCATGATAGTGTGGTGCTGGGAGAAATGGGATAGACAGGAAAATTGGTAGGAATGAGTAGAGAACACAAAAGTAGTCAATCCACACAACCATACCGACATTTGACAAAGGTATAAAACCAATTCCGTAAAGAATGGGGTTATTTTCAACCAAGAATGCTAGAACAATTGGGGTGGGGGAAGAACCTAAACCTGATACTTTATACAAAACTTACGTCAAGAGAAATCATGGACTTAATGTGAAACTAGCAGCCTTTTTAGGGTGTTGTGGTGGCTTAGTTGTAAGGGGCTATACTGCTCACCCAAGGGCAGGTGACTTGAATCTACCAGCTGCTCCATGAGAGAAAGATGGGTAGACTCCTCCCATGGGATTTACAGCCTCTTGACAACCCACTGGATAGTTAAGTATAAATCTATTCCAACTTGATAGCACATAACATCAACCATTTAAAGGAGAATAAATTGGTGAAAATCTTAAAGAACTAGTTCTGTTAGACTTGAGACTAAAAATACGATCTAGTAAAGACTTCTGATTTAGGAAAGAGAGACTTCTGCTCTAGGAAACTTTTCATAAGGATGAAATGACAGACAGTATAGAAGATACAGAAATATTTTCAAACTACACATCCAAAAACGATGTTGAATATATGAAGAAAGGTCAAAACTCAGCAGAGAAAAAGGACAAGTAGAAAGGGCAAAAGATACAGTCACAACCAATGTTGTCAAGATTGAATCACTCATACATTGCTGGTTAGACGGGTACAACCACTATGGAAAAACAGTTTGACATTTTTGTTAACCCAGATATGCAGCTGTCATACATGTGACTCAGCAGTTGCATTCTTGGATATTTAACACAGAAATAAAAACACATTCACAAAAATATCTCCGTAAATATTCATAGTAGCTTTACTCCTAATAGGCCAAATCTGGAAACATTCCACAGGGAATATCCTGAGAAAGATTACGTATTGTACTTACATAATATTCTTGAAATAGCATAGAAATACAAAAGCATTTAAGATAATGTTTGCTTCTTGTCAGGGCAGGGTGCTGAGAGGAAAGAGGGTGTAGCAAAAAAAGAGCACAAAAGATTCTTTCAGATAACTGTACTATAGTTTTTAAGCTGTTACCTTTGGGGGAACCTAGTTAAAGAGTATTTGGATCTCTGCTTATTTCTTACAATTGCTTCTGAATCTGCGGTTATTTAAAAAGTTCCCTTAGATATTATTGTTGACAGGAGTCCAGAACAATGTAGCATAGTGGAGTGGACTTGAGGGGAGGGATTGTATAACAATGAAAGATTTTTTTTTTTTTTCATTTACTTTTCAAAAAGAAAAGCAAATTCGGGGGGGGGCAGGGAGGAAAGTGCAACAATGAATGACTGGAAATCCAAAGACTCTCTAAACTTTCATTGAAATAAAATTTAAAAAAAAAAAATTTAGTGATACCTGTCTTTCCTCTTCTGGAGAATAAGAGTCACAAAAAGTGGAAGCTGAGATGAATGGTGATAATATGGTGGTGGGTACATATCCATATCTGTCAGTGTATTTGTTTTGGCGTATAGCCTACCATCCTTCCTTACCCAAGAGTAAGGGTGGGTGTATATTCCTACCTCTCAGTATATTTGTTTTGGCATGTAATTCTATTCTACCATCTTACCTTACCCAAGAGTATTTACAGTAGCTTTTGTGTAAATATTTCACTTCAGTATTAAGGAAGGGGTTCTTTTAAGGCTTTTTGTGGTGGTCACATTGGAAATAAGAAAAGCTCAGCCCCAACCCTCTCATTTACAAAGCAGTAGTGTAACTATAGAGTGCACCTGATTATAAAGCTTTTTCTTTTTTTAAGATTCAGAGACTCATGAAGGTTTTAGTGTTTGATAGCCAGTTAATTCTCTTTAAGACTTTTCCCAATTTTAGTAACTGATTGCAGTACATCAGTCAGTGTTGGGTCTTAATTTCATTAGCAGCAGTTCTTCACTTTTGATAATACATAAAATAATGGTATATATGCCACTTAGGCCCAGTGAGCTAATAGGGAAACTGGTGCCCTAGTGAAAAGAAGCTGCACTGCAATCCTGGAGACATGTGGTTCAAGGCCACCAGCTGTACTGTGGGAGAAGGATGGGCAGACTCCTCCCAAGCAATTAACTGCCTCTGCAGACCCGCTGGAGGGTCAGCTATGAATCATTTCTGACTCTATGGTATTCACCACCAACAACAACAGGTTCAGTGAGATCTGCTAATAACATCTGGAGGGGTTTGTTTTTTTTTAATTATTTGAATATTTTATCTGTCTTGATTTAATTAGTTTTGGAGGGAGATCACACGCTCTCTTATAGACACTAAGCAATTTGAGGATCTGGTGGTAAACTCAGTTATGCTACATAGTAATAGGGAGCTCTGGTAGCTTAATGATAAGGAATTGCTCTGCCAGCCAGAGGTACACGGTTTGAATCCACCAGCTACTCCATGGGAAAAAGATGGGCAGTTAACTCCTATGCGATTTGATGTCTTTAAAAACATGCTGGTATACACCACTACCACCATAATAATAGTATGTTATTAGAATATACTCAAATGTTACAATCTCATTTCTCTGCACCTTTTTTTGTTTTCAAGTGTCCATATACAGCATCTGGTTTTATGACAAGAATGACTGTCACCGCATAGCCAAACTCATGGCAAAGTAAGTATTTGTTACCCTATAGTTTTAATTATTAGTATATGAGAAATGAGGGGAAATTATGTTTCCTCCTCAATGCTCTTTGTTACCAGAGTTTATTCATTTATGTATCTGCTAAATTCCTATTTGTTGTCAAAATTTCGGAAAAGTAATCTAAAGTTATCTATAATACTACCACCCTAGTGTCAGCATGTCAGTCTCTTTCCTTCCAGTCTTTTTATCCGTGTACGTTAGGTTGATGGGTGTAATCATTAGTCACAAAAATAGACTCCTACTGTACCTTTTGCTTTTCATGTCAGCAGCATTTTCCCAGTGCACTCAGTAAGTTTAATAGGCCCCTGTAGTTTTGATAGTGACTGCATCATACTCAAGTCTGTAATTTAACAAGAACCTTACTTTTCAGCATATTGGTTAGGGCTCTAAAGCTGCTATGAGTATTATCAGACTGATAAACATAGGCAGTGAGTGTGATTGAGGTTTCATCAAGAGTCCATGATAACAAGTAGTATTGAATTCTGTTGTCTGACAGAAAACTCTTGCTCATACCCATGCTTCATTTCTTTACATGAGTTTGGTTTTGATGTAAACAGTTGCTTTAGAACACCTCTATCCACTAATGGATTTTGCTGCAGGAGATTATTGAAAACCAGCATCTTGGGATTTAGAGAAAAGTTTCCATTGATTTAAAGTTCCAAGTGGTAACTCATTATCTTTTTGTCAGACTAGCCCACAAAACTACCCTCTCTCAATTCATATTTTCTTTATTCTCCTGCAAGTCCTTTATCTATGTATTTTTGTGGTTTGTGGCATTTTCGGTTCTGGGAGCCCAGGAGCTTGAGTTGCTGCAGAGCTCTGGACAGAGTACTAAAATAGCCAGTGTGTTCTTTGGAGTACCTTGCTTTTCCATTTTTGTCTGGACCTCCTCAGAAATGTGGCCTTCTCTTCCCCTCTGTCAGTTCAAAATTCACTTCTCTCTCACATGAGTTTTATCTCCATGTTGAGGAGTAAAACAGTCTTAATTTTGTAAAAGAACTTTCAATATTTTAACTACTCTCTATAAAAATAGAAACAAGTTATTAGCCTTAAAACAACAATTCCAGGAATGTATGCATTTTTTTTTTTAAAAAAGATAGCTGTGCCTAAAGCCACACTATAATCCCAGAGTATTGATATATTCTGATTGGATATTTACCAGTCCCCTGCTGTGTTTCTTCTAGTTGTGAGTTTGCAGGACAGATCCCTGTGTGTTACTATTGACCACTTATGAACATTGTTTCTTATGAATTTGTAGCCACTAGTATTTGAAAATGTATTGAGTATTTGAACTTGTAACCACTTTGTAGTAGAAAAGTAGATTTCTACTCATTGGGTATGTATTAGACAGAGTAGAATTAGCTCATAGGGTTTCCAAGCCTAAAGCTGCCTTATCCTTCTTGCATAGGGTGGCTGGTACTGGAACCAGCTTTTTATTTGCTTTTCACTTAACAGACCAACATTTAACCCATTGCACCACCACAGTTAAGGAACTGTGGGAATGGGGAGCTTGTGAAAGTAATCAGAATGTAAATGTGAACTTATTAGTAGGTGGAATCTCCACGTGCCTGGCGTATTTATGGAGGAAGAGAGTATCTTTTATAGTAATAGATTGGCTTTCTGGTTACTAGAGTTTTGTTTTTGTTTTCGAATTTTCTTTTGGTACTGTGAATCTGCCTGCATACATAGCTTATTTGCTATGTATTTCAAAATACAGCCTCTGCTAACCAGAATTACAAAGTAAACGCTTTGGTATATTGTGCTCCTAAATAAATCTGCCTGTCAGTGACCATTTGTTAAATTCGATTCTTCCCATCACTATTTTGACAATAATAAAAATTCTCCAAGTGATTTATTTCAAACTATGTTTATAAAAAATGAAAAGTTGTGTAGGAGAACAAGGGAGCTTCCAGAACTTCTGGGCCTGTACTCTTTCTGAACTTGGAAATTCTTTGAGTGACTGGCAGTAACAAAATTGAAAATCACTGAATTTTAAAACTGTTGATTATTCTAAAGAAAATCTATGCTCTCAAAACTATTTCAGTGATAGAAGCTGTTTGAATGTTTGCCCTTATAGACTATAAAATATGGAGTACTCGTGGAAATTAGTTTTTCCTAATCAACAATCTCAGGGCACAGTTGCATATTTGAGAGGAAATGTGGGGTCGCTTTTTACAGCACTTGAACTGGAAGTGGCATTATTGTCCAAGCCTTACTTCTATGAGAGCCCTTTCTACACTTACTCTGGCCACTTCTGTTTTCAGCCGTAATGAGCTTTGTGCAGTGGCCTCCTCACAGGTAAATAGTCTTCTTTTCAACCAAACTTTCTGAGCCAGTCTAAAATCAGGGAAGAATTGAACACCATGGCCAAGGTAAGCAGCACAGCAAGGAGGAGATAGAAAATGGGCTTTGTGACAAAGAATCCTTTATGAAGGTGGATTCAGGCTGGTATGACCTATAACTAGGTATTAAAGAAATAGATCATCTGAAATTGCTTTCTTCTGATTATTAATGGCCCCGTTTCAAAGAAAAGCTCAACTGGAGATATGTACCATTTCTTTCTCTGTGGTAAAGTATATGCACTTTCATTTTCTTTTTTGGGTCCTTTTTGCATTTTTCCCCCCTAGCAATACTCACATTTTTGTCCATGCAGATTTTTTCCCAAGAATTAATTTCTAGAATGAATATGAATATACTAATTATTAATGAAATTGATTGGGCCTTCGTATCACAGTCAGAAGTGGGTGATCAGTTCTGCTTCCTACTTTGTCTCCCTTCATCTAGAAGCTGTGCTGAAACCTGCTCACAATGAGCAGGCATTTAGAATTCTAGTGCCAAAGCCCTCTGCATCACAGCAGCATGCAAGGTCACCATACATGCAAGGCCACTGCCGTACACTGTGACAAACTGACAGGCATATACGACTGTGAAGTAGTGAACTGAGACCAGGTAGCCTGCTGTCCTTTTCCTTTTCCGTCATGTTCTTCTAGTGGCCCAAAGACAGAACATTGAGAGCATTCATTCTATTAGTGTTATGGATAATTTTTAATCTTTCTGATTGTGGGGTGATTTTTGGGTTGTGGTTTTTTTTTGGGTTTTTGTGGTTTGTTTTTTTTTTTTAATTCTTGACAAAAAATTCATCCCTGAGCTCAGTTACCTGCCTGGTGATTTTTAAGGAGGAAAATAATAGAGGCTTTTCTTTGGGGGAGGGCTTAGAAACAGCTTTCCTACTTCTCACTCTCTCAGTGTCAATATAAACTTTCTCCAAAGGGTTTTTTAGCTCTCCAGCCTTCCAGTGTCTTTATAGTATTGTCCATTATAAAATTTGCATAATTTGACTGATTTTTAGATACTTCTGGGGAGCACTGGTAGCCTAGTGGTAAGAATCTGTGCTGTAGTCCCAAAGGCATCTAGTTCAAATCCACCAGCTGCTCCACAGGAGAAAGATGGACAATCTCCTCTGGTGCAATTAAGATGCCAGTGAAAACCCATTGGAGGGTCAACTGTGGGTTGATTCCAACTTGCCAAAACTCAACAACAGAGAGAAAAAGATACATCTTAGTAAAGCTTTGATGTACCTACTTCCACCAACTATACCAAAAAAACTAGCTATTTTTATTTTTGTAAAGGTGAAAATTGCTGGTTGATACTGTAAACAGACTGATAAAAATGCTAATATATTCCTGGGCTAAGGTAGACAAGACCTTAAGTTTTATATTGCAGATACATCACATGACAGTGTTACTGTATCCTTGCAAGATCAATCTTGGGTCAGATTGTGTCTAAAGAGGTTTTTTTCTAAAAGCTGGTTCTTTTCCTCTAGTGTGGTAGAAGAGGAGACACGACGGTCCCAGCAGGCTGCTCGGGATAAACAGAGTCCCAACCAGGCCAATGGCTGCAGTGACCAAAGGCCCATCGACATCTTGGAAATGCTGAGCAGAGCCAAGGATGAGTACGAGAGGGTGAGACTGGGTGTTCACCAGGAAAGGAGATTGGGGGACTGGGGAGAAAGCTTCTGGGCCAACAGAAGTAAAATTTGCTCAAAAAGAACCATGTATTAGAGTTTTAAACCTAAAAGATTAGGAAAGTGCTTAGCCCAGATTTTTATTTTGACAGGAAAAGAAAGAACCATCTTTTTCTATTCATTCTATTCATGTACAGTTACTATCGGGGGAGGAAAGTGGGTTTGGAATGTGAGAGTCTGCCAACAGGTACTACTGGACATGCTCATGTCTCCCTCCCCTCTGTAGTCTCTATTAGGATTTTAGGAATTTGTACAGGTCTTGAAATCCTCTTTGGCTTTGAAAGATGTTCTGATGGTTCTCACTCCTTAACCCTAAAAGGATGAGAGTAGCTAACACTGCTTCTCAGATTCATTTGTACACAGGACTGACCATCTTTCATGTGCTGCCATTAACTGGAGTTAAAATCAAACATTCAGTGAACATACGTGCTCAAGAAGATGTTGTCACTAGGTGCTATCAAGTTGACTGTGACTCATAACAACCCTGTGAACAACAGATCTGAAAGTTTCTCCATGCTGTGCCATCCTCATGGTCTCTGAGACGTTCTAGCTCATTGTTAGTTTCTGTGTCAAGCCCTCTTTGTTGAAGGTCTTCCTCTCTTTCTCTCATCCTCCACCTTTCCCAGCATGTTGTCTTTTTCAAGGTGCTGGCCCCTCCTGACAATAAGCCCAAAGTGGATGAAATTGAGTTTGACCATCTTTGCCTCCAAGAAGCAATATGGTTGCTCTTCCTCCAAGACAGAGTATCTCTTAGCTATGAAAATTAAATATTAGAAAATTTCATCATCTCTAATGATGAATATTGAGTCTTTGGATATTGAATGAGAGTAAGTTTCAAGAATCATTTTCTGATTTAAGGTTACCTCATAATTCCACAAGCCCCACATGCCTTTCCTGAGATCTGAGTTGTTTTATATGAATGCCTTGTTATGTTTTCATAGAGGCTTTTCTGTGTCCTGATAACAAAAAACTAATCAGTCCAGGGTTCTGTCACCCATCCCAGGTAGAGACTGAGTGAAGGTGCCACCTAAGACAGAAACTATGGATGTATGCTGTCTGGAAAGGTGTTCAGTTATTTCTCAGAGCTATAAAGGAACTCGCTAAGGTCATATGGGCAATCTAAAATCTGACATCAGTTCTAATTATGTGAACACTGCAAAAGAAAAGATAAAGCTAGCACAGTAATTTTTGTTGTAAGGAAAATTTTTCCATAGTAAGGAGTGAGTGAAATGCTGCCAGTGGTTAGGTTAAAACTAAACCTTTTAGAATTTAGTTCAACCTTCGATGTTTGCTTACAATGTATTCTTTTGGGTTTTTTGGGAGGGTTTGTGTTTGTTTATTTTTGGTTGGGTTTTTTGGGGGGGTTTGGTTGGTGTTTGGTGTTTTGGTTTTTTTTGTGGTTTTTTTTGGTCTGTACTTAGTGTTCACAGTGATCGAGACTCTATATCTTAGCTTTTGAAAGGGCTCTCCTGGACTTCCCAGTGACAGTGACCCCTCCATAAAGACTGAGGAGACTAACCAAGTTAAGGCAAGGTAGGGTGAAGTATAAACTAGGCTTCAGTGATGGAATTTAATCCCAGATCAATCTCCCTTAATAAAATGCCAGACTTGAGTAGAGAATTTATAGTAATAAGAGGCTTTTTAAAATTAAAAACAATAAAACATTTTCTTCATAGCTCTTACAGCTTATTTGAACCATCTTTCCCAATTTTTAGTATAAGGAAAGGTGGTTGAAACTACAGTGTTTAACACTTGTTCTGTTCTGAGTTGCTTCTAACTACAAGATAAGTTCTAGATTTTGTTGGTGTTTGTTTAGTAAAATAGTCTTTTATAACCTATTGTTCCTCCAAAGACTAATTTATCTTTATTGACAGTAACTATTTATGTCTACCATTGACTTTCAGATTATCACTCCTGCCTCTCTTAACAGAGGTGTTTGAGAAGTTAACCAGTGGGATGTTTGTTTGGGACCATTTCATCTAGAACATTTCTGCTTATCTCTCTCTTATCTTTATCTATTTCACAAGGATTCTCTGTGAAATTTGAAAGAAGGAAAAATTTAAAAAGAACCATGATATATTTATTACTATTCCTTAGGGTATTTAAATATACATAATCAATACCCTACATTTTCCTAATTCTATGAAAAGTCCAGTTGTGTATCTTTGTAGTTGAGTCCTTCTGGCTAATTTTTTTATGTACAAAGTTAACTTTTTTCTTAAGATAAATTTTTTGAAAGGTCCTGCACAACTATAAGAAATTCTTGAGAATGTTTAAAGTACCAGTGGGTCAGGGGAGAACTCGAGCAAAGAGCGTGTTCTCTGTGTCTGAATGTCAATTGCAGCTCACCTACAGCCAGTCATCACCAAAGAGCCAAAGTTGGCCTGGCTTTTCCCAAAAGTATGAAACTACCAGCTCTTTTAAAATGTTTCTGGATATTGACTACATCTGTTTTAAGAACTTTTTGAGTTTGTTTCTTAAGTAGAATTTAAATATAAGTAACCATTTCCCATAATATGATGCTAATGGTTGATGGTGATGCTGCACAAAGACTATGTTAGAAGATTAAACTATTTCTCATAGACTTTCTCAGACTGTTTGATCTTCTTTAGATGGATTGTTATTAGGTGCTGTCTAGTTGAGTATAACTTAGGGACCCTATGAATAACAGGCCTGAACCCTGTCCTGTCCTGTGCCATTTTCGTCAGCTCTGAAACACTTGAGCCATTTGCTACAGTCACTGTGTCAATCCATCTTATTAGGGGTCTTCCTCTCTTTCTCTGACCCTCCACCACCTTTCGAAGCATGATGGCCCTTTCCAAGCAATAGCCTATCCATAGTATAAGAGACTATGAGACACCATCTTTGCCTCCAAGGAGCACTGTAGCTGTACTTTTTCCAAGACATACCTGTTTGTATGCTAAGCATATATTACGGTGTCAAGAAAACTTAGCTCTCTATATACATTGAGGTTTCATTCTTTTCATCTTAAGTTTTTAAAGAATATATGTTCAGCAAATGATGTTGGAACATGTGGTCAGCTATAAGGGGGAAAAACAACCTAGAACCCTTCTACAAAAACCAAGTCAATGTATCAGAGCTCTAAATGTCAAATTTCTAAAAGACAAAGATGTTTTCAATATGACCCAACTGTCTCACTCCTAGTTAATTTTACCCTAGAGAAATGAAACCTTTTGTTCACTCAAAAGAACCTGTTTTTTTAGTAGCAGTAATTGTGGTCACCAAAAACTGGAAACCTTGTAAATGTCCTACTGGTAAGTGGTTAAACCCACTAATACATTCATAGAATGGAATGTCACTCAGACCGTCTCCCAGGACTTCCGAACATATGATTCCAGTTCCAAGTTTCCAGAAAGATGCAGTGACAATTAATAAATCTGGTTGCTAGGAGTTGGCTTCTGATGGAGAGTGAACATGACCAGAAGAGGACAGCATAGAGGAGTTTTTTGGGGTGATGAAAACAGTTGCCTATCTTTATTGAGTGGTGGTTGTTATGTTCTGTCAAGTCGGAACTGATTCGTAGCTGACCCTTGAGTGGGAGTTCAGAGACTGGAAATCGCATGGAGGAGGTTGCACATCTGTCTCTTGCTTTGTTGGAGTAGTGGTTTTAAAAACTACATCTCTACACTCTCCTGCCCCCTTCAATAATGTTACATTTAAAAAGATAATAGAAAAGAATAGGTGAGCATGTTACTGGTTTTTCCTTAAAAGTGTGATTTTTTAAAAATGCTATCACTGTTGCCTATCATCTAGTGCTCAGTTCTGAAATTTATTTTCTATAGATTCTGTACTTCAGGGACTAAAGCATAATGTTTTGTTGTTATTATTTTTAAAACTAACATCCCTAATACCGTCCAGTGATGTTTTATTAGCCATATAATAGGAAGCACATATTTCACATGATACTATTTTTTGGTTTTGTTTTTTAAGAATCAGAAGGGCGACTCAGATATCTCCAGCCCTGGGTTACAGCCAAGCACTCAAGTCTCCAATCTAGGAAGTTCAGAGACTCTAGAAGAGATGCCCTCTGGGTCACAAGATAAGGTTTGTACAGCCAAAGACAACTTTGTCCAATGCAACAAAACAAAGAATCACACTTTGTAACTATTTTAATGAAGTACAAGTTTGATTTATGACCTTTTTTATCAAGGTATGTACAGGCAGCAGTGTGTTTTGAGCAGTGTAATTGACATCCACCCATGTCACATCCCCTTGCCCCGTGACTTTCATACCAGAAGTCAGAGTAATCCTGGTAAAGTACAAGTCAAGTCATGATATTTCTCTACATAAAACCCTCTACTGGTGAATAAAAGCTGGCATCTTGGCCGTTACGGTCTTTAACACCCCATCTGAACTGGCTCCACTACCTGTGGTCTCATGCTCACCCTGCCAGACTGACTCACCCCCAGCCTCATTGCCTTTCTTGCTCTTCCTCAAATGCATCAGACACACCCCTGCTGCAGGATAAATGTGTGTGCACTTGTAATTCCCTTGGCCTGGAATACTTTGCCTTCTTACGTAAGACTTGTTCTTTTTCCTCTCCCACATCTCAAGTGCTTTCCCAATAGTTGACAGCTTCTCTGGGCACATTCTTTAAAATAACAGCCCACCTCACCCCCTGCCCTGCTGACCTGGTTTGTGGCCCTCACCACCAGTGTCAGCTCTCTTTACCTTGTTTACTACTGCATCCTCAGCTTCCAACATTGTTGTGTGTTTTTGATAAATGAACTTAGTGACTAATAAATGCCTGAGTATTTTTCATAATCAAGTAAAACCTATCATTTCTAACCTTATTTTGAGGTAAATATAGATTTATAGATAGTTCTAATAAATAATTCTGAAAGATCCCAAGTACCCTGTACTCATTTCCCTATTGATTGATTACCTCTTGGAAAATGCAGTGCAATATCACAGTCAGGATATTGATGATAATCTACAAATCTTATTTCGATTTCTCTAGTTTTACCTTGTACACATGTGTGCATATGTATTTAGTTTAGTGTAATTTTTTCATGTGTGTCCAAATACCCCCTCCCTCCGATGTCTAGAGTAGAGTTCCATCATAACAAGGATCCTTCATGTTGCCCTTGATTTACAACAGAAAATTATTTTTCTTGCATTTTTATTCATGTTAAAATTTCCAAATTATGTTGAGTTTTTATTCATTCATATACATTTTGTTATCTAATATTAATTACTGGTAATATAGTTAATTATACTATGTAACCAGCCCTTTATTATATATTATCATTCCCTTTTCCCAACTGGTTTTTGGGTTTTTCAATTTGATTTTCCTCTTCTTTATTTTTCACCCCTGGTAACCATCCAAGAATGATTCTACCTGTGTGTAGACTTGTCCTGAACTTTTTATAATAGTGGTCTTATACCATAAATGTCCATTTGTGACTTTCTTCTATCACTTGTCATAATTTCCTCTAGATTATCCATGTTGTGCAGGATTTTGCAAATTTATCATTTTTTCAACGGCACATGGTACTTACTCTGTTATGTGACTAGACCATAGTTTATTAAGCTCTTCATCACTTCTGAGCACTTGGGTTGTTTCCACCTCTTTGCTGTAGTAAAGTATAGTAAATGATCTTGTAGTAAACATAAGTATGCATATATCAGTTTGTGTCACAGTTCTTTCATCTTTAGGATATATATACCTAGTAGTGGAATTGCTGGATCAAATGTTATTTCTGTTCCCAACTTTGTAAGGAAACACCAAAACTGTTAGTGTTTATACCATTTTACATTCTCATCAGTCGTGTATGAGAGTGCCAGCTTTTCCCCACCCTCACTAGTGCTGTCACTCGCTCTTTTATTGAACTTGCTCTTGTTATTAGAGTAACAACATCATCTCATTGTTGACCTTGGGGGATTGACACAGTAACTTGGGCATTGAGATTAGGTGTGTTAGAGTCAGTGAGACTGCATCAGGATATAGAGCAGGTTCAGAGCTGTTGTATATAGGGTTGCGTTGAGTCATGAGTGACTTAATGGCACATAACATCAACAATAGCTAATGATCTTAAGATTTTCTTCATGTGTCTATTGGCCATCTGAGTTTTTCTTTGGTGAAGTGTCTTTTCGTGTCCTCTTTGTAGTGTCCATTTTGTAATGGTTTGTCTTTTTACCTTATTGAAATAATGTTTTTTATAAATTTCAGAAATGAGTTCCTTGTCATGTGTCATTGCCAAATATTTTTCCCAGTCTGCAGGGTCTAATTTTACTCTTGGAGAAATGTTGATGCTAATTGTGTTTTTCTTTTTATTTTATGTAAACGCTTACTTATGCCATTGTTTTTTTAATCTACTTTTTATCTGTCATGGGTTTTGGGGTTTTTTTTTCTTTAATCTCCTTATGCCATAGGTTAGGGATCCTGAGTTTGCCCCAGTTTGTTCTCCAATAATCTTTATAGTTTTAGGCTTGTCATTTTAGATCAAAATTTAGATCTAAGACTTTATAGTTTTTGATCAAGGTCCCTAGGTCCTTAATCCATTTTGAATTTGTTTTTCTTTATGGTTGTGAAATATGGATCTTGTTTCATTTTTCTGCAGATAGTTTTGCCAGCATCATTTTTTTAGATTGTATCTTTTCCCCATCTGCTGGTTCATCTCTTTGTCAAACATTAGCTATACATGGTTGGGTGGATATTTCTTGAGTTCTCTGTTGTTTTCATTGGTTGTCTGTTGCTGTACCAGTACCAAGCTGCATTGATTGTCCTGACTGTGTAAAGGTCAGAAGTGTAAGGCCTCCTACTTTTTCTTTTTTAGTGTCCTTTTGCTTATCCTAGGGTTTTTTTCTTTTTCATATAAAGTTGTTGATTACAAAGATACTCTGTATCTTTTAAGAAATGGGGTGTGGATCAAGATTGTATTATCTCTAAGGATGACTTTTGATAGTATTACCATTTTCACAGTGTTCAGTCTTATGATCCATGAACATTTATGCTACCCTTTATAATAACATCAACTTTTCCTCTCCACACTCTCCTTGGTCCTCTTTCTCCATCTTTAAACCCTGGCACCAACTAGTCTAGTTTCCATTTCTGTAATTTTGCCACTTGAAGACAGTTAAAAGTAGAATCATACATAACTTTCAGAGGATGACTTTCTTCACTCAGCACACTTCCTGGAGGCTCAATCAAATTGCTGTATGTATCATTTATTGCTGAGACGTCCTTCACTTAGTTCCTGGTATCTATGTACCACCATTTATGAAACCGTTTACCTACAGAAGGACATCTGGTTTGTGTCCAGTTTGAGTTGGTTACTATGAGTAAAGCTGCTGTGAACATTCATGTAGGTTTTTGTATGAACATAAATATCTGTGGATATCAGGAGCTGGTTCTACAGAAGCTGTTGGCAGGGATTCTGAGCGATGGGGTGGAATGTTGATTGGCTAAGGGAAGTGAGGACATGTGATAAGGCCTCTTATTTAAAAACCCTTCCCGATTAAAACACTCTTGGAAGCAGGAGTGGCATCCACTTCCGAAATGGCTTGCCTCTGGGAACTCTATGAACAGTGCTCAGGTCTTTCGTTCATAGGGTCACTGTGAGTCATCTACGAATCGATGGCACTTAACAACAATAACAACAACATAGAGAGCTACGTTGGCCTACGGGACAGAAAGTTACGCTACCAAGCCCGAGGTGGGTGATTTTAATCTGCGACCCTCGGGCCTGGTTTAAATTCTTTTTTGTCACACATTTTTCTAAGTGGTGTAGCACTGGTCAGTGCTTTGCTGTACAGAGGTAACTCATGGTTGCTGTGATGCTAAACACTGTGACACTGATGTGCCAAATGTGATAATAGTTACTCTTGGTGGACAGTGTTTTGGTGGAGCTTCCCGATTAAAACAAGCTTGGACTATACCTGTCAGACCTGATTTGATGGAATACACACACACACACACACTAATAATAATAATAATAATAAGGACAAGTATAAAAACAAGCTTGGAAGCAGGAGTGACATCCATTTCTGAAACAGCTTACCTCCGGAAATTCTATGGACAGTACTCAGGTCTTTTGTTCATAGGGTTGCTATGAGTCATCTATAACTCGATAGCACTTAACAACACCAACATCTGGTATAAATGCCCAGGAATGCAATTACTGAGTCATATGTATGGTAATTGTATGTTTAGTTTAATAAACTGCTAGACTTTTCCACAGTAGCTGTATCATTTTACATTCTCACCAGCAATGTGTCCATGTTTTTTAAGAATTTCAACTGGCTTTTTTTCCCCCTACTGGTTTTTGTGTACTCTTCTCCCATGTTCCATTTTTACTGTCTTGGATTTAGGATCCTAAAGATCAAGCTTATAGTTAAGTGATGCTATATAAAATACATTTTTTTTTAAAAAAAACTGGTTCATGGAGATTTTTCTATTTGATTTGTTTTCTTGTTGTGTTTTGTTTTGCGCTTTTAATGAAAGTTTATAGAAAACTTGAATTTCCATTCATTCATTGTTACCCATTTTCCTCCCTGCGCACCCCCTAGTTCACATTTCTTTTGGGAAAAAAACTGTTAATTGTTGTACAGTAACTCCTCAGTCCACTTTACTAAGCAGCTCTTACTCTGGACTATTGTCATACAAATAATACCTAATCATATATTCTTTTTAAGCAGTTCTGTTCATCATCTGTTTCATTGCAGTGTACCTTATTTTATCCCCTCTTTTCTTAGTTTCCTCCAACCCCTACGTCACTCCTGTTTTATACAAGTGGCATTTTGCAGAATTTGTCCTTTTGTGACTGACATATTTCATTCAGAATAATGTCCGCCAGGGTCACTCATTTTGTATTATAGTTCATGAATTTCTAGGTTACCAGTGCTGCGTAGTGTTCCATGGTGTGAAGATATCACAGCTTCTCTATCCATTCATTTGTTGATGGGCACTCGGGTTGTTTCAGTCTTTTTGTTGTTGTGAACAACGCAGAAATAAACATCAGTGTGCATATATATCTGTTTGGGTGGCAGTTCTGATTTCTTTAGGGTATATTCCCAGTAGTAGAATTGCTGGGTCAAATGGG